TCCCCGAATTTTTTTTTTCTACAAGTAAACTTTGACATATTTTGTGTAAAAAGAAACTCTACTGATGAGCAAATTCTATTCTCAGAAATTTGCTTATAAGCAACAAAACAAAAACAAAATTTTCACTGATGAGAAATTCAAACAAAAAATAACTTGAATAACAACTAAATTCTGACAATATTAGAAAAAAAACTATATTACTTTTAAAATGAAAATATCTACTGATGAACAAACTTAGATTTATCTATAAATATTCAAACATATTAAAATTTAATAATAAAATGCACAATTTTGAATAAGAATTATTGACAGTCCTCAAAACGGGTAATTTTACCCGCCCCCGCTTATATAGCGTTAATAGTGATTTGAATGAGAAAAAAAAAGTTTTAAAATTAATTATTACTTACGTTGATGGAGTGATTGATGTTAAGTCTTCTCCAATAGTTTGGATAACTCTTCTACCCCATATCCAAAGACCGGTTACCATACCGAAACCACCAAACAATAAGATACCAAGTGGAGTCTCTGATTTTTGTAAGACGTTACCATCAGCAAAAATCAACCACATTGCAATTATTGGGCCAATTGCATTGCTGTAAAAGATAATTGAGTATTAATAATTGAAAAATAAAAAAAAAGAGTTAGGTTATAACAGTAGAATTTTCAAAAAAAAGAAAAAAAAGAGAAAACTAGTTGGTTTGGTATTTAGCCTTGAGGCAAGTTACATGAACTTCCCGAAATGTGTAAATAATCGACTTAATCAAAAAAAAATGTGTAAATAATATACTTCATTAATCCTACTTTAAAAAAAAACGATAATAATTTTAGCAAACTTTGACGAATTTTTAAAATTAAACTACTTGTTGTAAGGCCGTAATATTACAGTAAGTTCTATAAGACCATGATGTATATCGCCAAAAAAAGTTCCATGAAAAACGGCTTAATTTTTTTTTAACAGTTAATTACAAGAAAACGGCTCGGTAGATTTTCACCTAAAATTAATCAGCATCATTCCCAACTAATATCTTTCGAACAGTTTTTGATTTTTTAAAATCGGTTCGGTAGGATGAGCTTAAATATGTACGAAAAGTTTTTTCGAATTACAAAGAAACGGCTTGTCAGATCGTTGCACAAAACTGACAAACGATAGTCCTCACCGAAATACATCAAATGGCTTTTAAATTTCTAAAATCGGTTCAGGCGTTTTTGAGAAAACGTCGATCAAAAGTCTAATTTTGACAAATGCCAAAAAGACCATACTGATTTTTGCAAACTTTGACGAATTTTTAAAGCTGAACCAGTTGTCGTAGGGCCGTAATATTTTAGTATGATCTAGAAGACTATGGTATCTATCGTCAAAAAAATAATCATAAAAATCGTCGAAATTTTTTTTTTAAAAACTTTATTACAAGAAAACGGCCCGGCCGATCTCTACCAAAAACTAATCAGCACGATTCCCAACCAATATCTTTCGAACGGTTTTTGAATTTTCAAAATCGATTCAGAATTGCGGGCTAAAACGTAGACGAAAAATTTTTCACTTTTCTGCCATTTATAAAGAAACGGCTTGGCCGATCGTCGCACAAAACTGACAAACAATAGTCCTCGTCGAGATACATCGAATGGCTTTTAAATTTTTGAAATCGGTCCAGCCGTTTTCGAGAAAACGTCGATTTACGGCAAAAAATCTGTTGGTGCACACGCACACACACACACACACACACACACACACACACACACACACACATACTTTTTCCAAATTTGGTCTCATTCGATTCAGAATGGCTTGAAACGTCGAGAAAATAAAATTAGCGAATCGGATTTTTTGATGAAAACATAAACTTCTCCTTCGGGAAGTTAAAAAATATCTGACAAGTTCTGACATTTCTGGGAGAACGAAAGGAACTCTAATGATGAAAAAATCATAACATTTTTAGGAAAATGTAAGGAATTACATAACATTTTTAGGAAATTGTAACTTTTTTCAAAATTTACTGAAAAGCTTCTCAAACATTTTTAGAAAAAAATCTGGAACGAGTAAATTCTGATATAATTTTTTTGAGAGAAGAAAGTAACTTCACTGATGAGGAAATTTAAATAAAACGAAGTCCTTTACTGATTAACAAATTTTGAGATTTTTGTTTAAGGGATTTTACTGACGAGAAAATTCTAATATTTTTAGAAAAAAGAAACTACTGACGAGTATTTTCCTTGATTTTCAGAAAAAAAAGAACTCTACTGACGAGCAAATACTGACTTTTTAATCAAAGGGTAACTCTACCGAATTTTTTTTTTTTTAATATTACTCTACTGACAAACAAATTCTGATATTTGTGAAAAAAACTTAAACTACTAACAAACAAAACTTAACATTTTTTTTAAAAAAAGAACTCTACTGACGAGCAAATACTGCCTTGTTAATCAAAGGGTAACTCTAACGATTTTTTTTTTTTTTAAATATTACTCTACTGACAAACAAATTCTGATATTTGTTAAGAACAAAGAAATTAGTAAAAAGCAAAACTAACATTTTTTCCAAAAAAAGAACTCTACTGACGAGCAAATTCTGATATTTTTTAAAATAAATAAGAACTGACGAGAAAAATCCTACATTTTTGGAAAAAAACTACTGAAAACCAAATTCTAACATTTTTAGGGAAAAAATGAACTACTGACGAGTAAATTCCTAGATTTTCAGAAAAAAAGAAACTCTACTGACGAGCAAAATCTGACATTTAAAAGAAAACACTACTGACAAGCAAATTCTGATATATTTAAAAATAAATAAGAACTGACGAGAAAAATCCTACATTTTTGGAAAAAAAATACTGAAGTGCAAATTCTAACATTTCTAGAAAAAAAAAGAAACTACTGACGAGTAAATTCCTAGATTTTTAGAAAAATAGAACTCTACTGACGAGCAAAATCTGATATTTAAAAGAAAACACTACTGACAAGCAAATTCTGATATTTTTTGAAATAAGAACTGACGAGAAAAATCCTACATTTTTAGAAAAAAGGAACTCTGATGAATGAAATCTGATTTTTTTTTTAAAAAAAGAACTCTACTGACAAAGAAATTTTGATATTTTTAAGAACAAAAAGCAACTCTACTGGGCGAGCAAATTCTAACATTTTTGAAAAAAAGGAACACTACTGACAAGCAAATATTGATATTTTTAGAATAAAAAAAGGTCTGTACTGAATTAAAAAAGGAACTCTACTGACGAGCAAATTCAGATATTTTTAATAAAAAAGGAATTCTACTGATGAGCAAATTCTGACATTCTCAGAAAGTAAGGACTCTACTGACGAGCATATTGTAAAATTTTGAGGAAATGAAAAAAAACTTTACTGACAGCAATCTTGGCATTTTTTCCAAACAAAAATCTGATCCTGACATTTATAGAAGAAACTAACTCTACTTACTAGCAAATTTTAACTTATTTGTAAAAAAGAAACTCTACTGACAAGCAAATTCCAGCATTTTTAGAGAAAAAAGGAACTCTACTAGCGAGCAAATAATATTTTTAGAATATCAAAGGAACTCTACTGGCGAGCAAATTCCAACATTTTTAGAATATCAAAGGAACTCTACTGACGAGCAAATTCCAACATTTTTAGAGAAAAAATGAACTCTGCTAACGAGCAAATTATGATATTTTTAGAGAAAAAATGAACTCTACTAACGAGCAAATTATGATATTTTTAGAAACTAAAAAGAACTCTACTGGCGAGCAAACGTAAGTATTAATAAAAACTACTGACGAGCAAATTCAGACATTTTTAGAAAAGGATTTTGACTGAGGAGCAAATATAAATATTAAAAAAACTGAATCTACTGGTGAAGATAATCGAACTTTTTTTTTAAATTGAACTCTAGTGATGAGAAAATTCGATCTTTTTGAGAAAAAAAGAGCTCTAGCATCAAGCAAATTTTGATCTTATTGAAGAATCAAAGAAATGAATAACAAACAAAATCTACAATATATAAAAAAGGGACTCTACTAATAAACAAAATAGAATTAAATGAAAAATGAGTGATTTTCAGTAGGCATTAGAGTTTCGAAGCGGCTGCATGATAATATTAGTAAAAAAAAAACAATATATATTATATAATATTGAGGAGCAAATATAAATATTATAAAAACTAAATTCTACTGGTGAAGATAATCGAACATTTTTTTTTTTAAATTGAACTGTAGTGACGAGTAAATTCGATTTTTTGGGAAAAAAGAGCGTTACTATCGAGCAAATTTTGATCTTATTGAACAATCAAAGAAATTAATAACAAACAAAATCTACAATATATAAAAAAGGGACTCTACTGACAAACAAAATAGAATTAAATGAAAAACGAGTATTTTCAGTAGACATTAGAGTTTCGAAGCGGCTGCATGATAATATCAGTAAAAAAAAAACAATGTATATTATATAATATATATTATTTTTTATAATATTTTTTAAATTAATAATAGACGTTTCAATTTTATTAGGGGTATTTGGTTGACAATTGTCATTCAGTTTGTTCGCGCCTATATATGAACAAAAAATCATCAATCGAAAAATCATACAAAAAATCAAACCAAAATCAAATCAATCAATACGTAATCAAAAACATATTAAAACTATTGTAAATACTATTATAACTTATATAACTAAAATAAATATATACAGTTATCAATAAAGTATTTTACAATTGGTCCTTCATAAGGCAATCAATCAAAACAACATTCAAAAAAACACAGTTATTAATTGAATTAAAAATATCGATTTTCCCGTTTTAAACTTTAAACGACCAATCGCGTCAACTCTATCCAATCATCGTCCGCATCGACCAATCACGAAACAGAATTCACAAAAGACACGCGTAACCAACTTCAGTCCTATCATAACTGTCATATCGTAGACTCAAACCCACTATTCGCTGGTAAAGTTCTCCTCATAGATATAAAAGTATGGTTCTACTTCAAAACATATATTTATTTATCTTTTATTACCTGACATCGTTTCCTCCATGTGCAAAACTTCCAAAAACAGCAGTAAGCACTTGCAAAAACGAAAACAACCTCGACACAGCCCTATCTTCATGTGGAGTCATGACTCGAACCTGGTTCTTATGTTTCAACAAGGGTGCAGTTCCTGACAGTTGTGAATTTAATGTCGCTGCACTGTCCATGGATCTCATGTCTTTACTGGTCGCTGACATATTGTTAACCATTAAGGATTGTGGGGCTATTAAAAGGTTTCCTGTTAGTTTATCGGATTCCACTTTGGTGTCCAAAGGTTCAGTGGTTAGACCATTGTCGAATTTGACTGCAATTCCGTTTTGGGACTTCTCGTTTTGTTTGAGGTTTTTAGCTAAAAAGAATGGATACTGTGTTAACCGTGGAACAGTAAAAACTAGTGGTGTATGGCATCGTGCCTTAAGGCAAATTGCTGGAACTTCCCGTACGGTAATGAAATATTCGAGAAAATTTATACATATTGCAAATATATTTTTGCTATTTATTATATCTGAGCAAATCAAATGTAAATCATAAATCATAAATCAATTTATCTCCAGAACATTAACAATCATTATTTCATTTCGAATTCAATTTCAAAAAAAAAAAATAGTTGCCTAATTTACAAAAAATCGAAAAAGTGCTCCCATATAGTCACAGTCTAAACGTCTTTGCAAATAATTCTGTGCGAAATTTTCACTTATACTGTGCTTAGCTTGGCGGCATTTTCACATTTTTCAATAGTTTTTCCACAAAATTGGAAAAGTTCTCCAATACATAAATAGTCCAAACGCACTCGGGTAAACATTTTTACCAGAGTGGCGCTGAGACTGTGCTTAGCCTGGGTCATTTTTTCAATTTTCTGAATCCAAAATCACAAAACAAAAATATTCTATGGAAAATAAATAAAGGTGTAATAGTTTTTTAGCGAATTGTAATTTTGTTCTCCAAAACAAAGAACTCTACTGACGAGCGTATTTTAGTATTTTTTAAAATAAAAGGAACTCTACTGATGAGAAAATTCTGGCAACTTTTTCTAAATAAGAAAGAACTCTACTGACGAGCAAATTTTGATATTTTTTCTAAATAAAAAGAATTCTACTGACGAGCAAATTCTAATATTTTTTTTAAATAAAAAGAATTCTACTGACGAGCAAATTTTAATATTGTTTTAAAATGAAAGAATTCTAGTGACGAGCAAATTTTGATATTTTTTTAAATAAAAAAGAACTCTACTGACGAGCAAATTCTGATATTTTTTCAAATCAATCAATCAATCATCAATTCAAATCCAAAATTACAAAAATATTTTTTGAAAAAAAAAATTAGAAACAAGCAATTTTGTTGAAATAAGCCGAAAGTTCTTTGAATTATTTAAATCGAACGCTTAGATCTCTCAAAGACTGCCATTTTTTTTAACATTTAGCTCTGTATCTCCGAAACCGCTAGGCCTGTCTTTGCCAAAAACTAATAGCCACTTTTCCCCGTCATTACGAACTGAATGTTTTTTGGATCATACAAATCGGATGATCCGTTCTCTCAAAAACTCGATTTGTATTTTCTGCACTCTTTGCTCCGTATCTCCGTAACGGTTGGACCTGCCTTTGCCAAAAACTAATCAGCATGTCTCCCTATTAATAAGAATCGAATGTTTTTCAAACCATTCAAATCGGATAATCCGTGCGCCCGAAAACGTGGACGGAAAAATGCGATTTTTTTTGTTTCAACAAAATAATTGCTTTTGGAAAAAAAATTTGTTTCTCATTCTTTTTCAAAAAATATTTTTGTAATTTTGCCCAGGCTAAGCACAGTCTAAGCACCACTCTGGTACAAATGTTTACCCGAGTGCGTTTAGACTGTTTATGTAATGGAGCACTTTTCCAATTTTGTGAGACTATGAAAAATGTGAAAATGCCGCCAAGCTAAGCACAGTATAAGTGAAAGTGTCGAACAGAATCATTTGCAAATGCGTTTAGACTGTGACTATACGGGAGCACTTTTTCAATTTTGTGTAAATTAGGTAACAATTTTTTTTTTTTTTTTGAAGTTGAATTCGAAATGAAATGACGATTGTTAATGTTTCAGGAGATGAATTGATTTGTTTATGATTTACATTTGACTTCAGCTCAGATATGACAAGATAGCAAAAATAATGAAAGTTACAGTATTTGTAATAATATATTTGAAAACGTTTAAAATTTCTCAAATATTTCATTACCGTACGGGAAGTTTCAGCAATTTGCCTTAAGGCACGATGCCATACACCACTAGTTTTTTAAAAGTTTAAAAAGAAATTTCTTTACCTCCATTATCATCTATGTAGTTCAAACTGGTGATGGTCAAATCCATATCGTCCAGGCTGGCAAAAATATTCTTAACCTTCGGCGAGACTTTATTTCCAATTTCAACATCGGTTTGTTTGCTTCCATCCTTTTTGCTCAGTTGCAACATTTCGTGAGATTCTATAATTTCTGGTACCAAAATATTATTGTCATTTATTGCCAATTTTTTCTCTGTGGTCGGGCTATTATTTAATGAAGGCTCAGCTGGGAAAAAAATAAAAGAATTAGAACTTCTCTTAAATTATTATTTTTATAATTATTTTTGTTTATCACTTACCACTTGAATCCCCTACGGTAAACATCACAGAATCTTCAGCAATTTTACGTTTTTGCCAAGGTAAAATAAATATTTGTGCTAAAATGCCGGTCGTTAGACCAAAAGCCAGAGCTAAACAAACTGATATCCATACGGCAATGTTGTCCAGATGGAGTACTAAAAAATATAATTTTATTATATAATAAATGCATAATGAAAGATTTTGTTTTAACATTCTTTCTTGCTTGTTTATATGTAAAATACGCCTGAATGCACGGCAAACATTTTCACAAGCCAAGAAAGGAGCATTAGACAACGCTATGGCAGAATTGAATATAAACTGTTTTAATTTAATTTAAACGGATTTAAATTTATTTATTCATTTAATTTGTGTAAAATTATTTTTTTATGTAAATTTTAAAAATATATTTAAATTATTTAAAAGAGTTGAATTGGTAATAAATATGCAACAAAATTGAGTTGGCATCTACAATGTTATAACAACAATTCATTTTATTTAAAAGTTTAATATTAAAGTGTATATAACAGTTTTTACTAGATTTTAATAAATTTTATCTAGTTTTTACTAATGTAAATAAATTATAATGTTCTAGAAGAAAATTAAAGGTTATTTGAAGAAAAGTGAAAAAATCCCCGAAATTCCTAAAAATGTCCTAAAAAAAACTATTGCAAATTATAGAAATACTGAAGTTCTCGTTTCAACTACGAATTTTGCAAAATTTTAATATCAAAGTGTATATAACAGTTTTTACTAGATTTTAGTAAATTTAATCTAGTTTTTACTAATGTAAATAAATCATGTCTTAGGAGAAAATTAAAAGTTATCTGAAAAAATGTAAAAAAATGTCCTTAACTCAAGTACGAGTATGGATTGCTAATTATAAGAATACTAAAGTCTGCATTTCAATTACAAATTATTCACAAATTTAATATCCAAGTGTATATAACAATTTTTGCAAAATTTTAGTAAATTTTATCTAGTTTTTACTAATGTAAAAAAATTATGATGTTCTAGAAGAAAATTGAAAGTTATTTGAAGAAGTGTAAAAATGTCTTTAAATTCATACATGAAGTGCTAATTATAAAAAGAATACTAAAGTCTGCATTTCAAATACGAATTTTGAAAAAAATTTATCTCTAGGTGTATATTACAGTTTTTACTAAAATTTTGTAGATTTTATCTAGTTTTTAATAATGTAAATAAATCATTATGTCTTAGAAGAAAATTAAAAGTTATTTGAAGAAATGTACAAAATGTCCTAAATTCATATATGTAATGCAAATTCTGGGAAATGCTAAAGTCCGAGTTTCAACTACAAATTATTCAAAATATTAATATCAAAGTGTATATAACAGTTTTTACTAAAATTTAGTAAATTTTATCCAGTTTTTACTAATGTAGAAAAATTATTATGTCTTAGAAGAAAAAAAAAAATTCTACTGAGAGCAAATTCCAACATTTTTCCCGAAAAAAAGGATTTAATAAGCAATTTTAACATTTTTAGGGGAAAAAAACTCTACTGACGAGCAAATTTTTAATATTTTTCCCAAAAAAAAAGGATTTAATAGGCAATTTTAACATTTTTAGGAAAAAAAACTCTGACGAGCAAATTTTTAATATTTTTCCCAAAAAAAGGATTTAATAAGCAATTTTAACATTTTTAGGAAAAAAATCTCTACTGACGAGCAAATTCTTAATATTTTTCCCGAAAAAAAGGATTTAATAAGCAATTTTAACATTTTTAGGGAAAAAAAACTGTACTGACGAGCAAATTCTTAATATTTTTCAAAAAAAAATTCTGACTAGCAAATTCTGACTATTGAGAAGTGTAAAAAAAATGTTCTAAATTCGTATATGTAATGCAAATTCTGGGAAATACTAAAGTCTGAGTTTCGACTACAAATTATTCAAAATTTCAATATCTAAGTGTATATAACAATTTTTATTAGGTTTTAGTAAATTTGATCTACTAATGTGAACAAATTTAAGTGTTCGGAATGAAAATTTTGAATCGTTTTAAAAAATATATAAAATGTCCTTGCTAGTCAATAGAGTACTTTTTCTTTTTCTATTCTATGTCTTATTTAAGTTTGCTAGTCAGTAGAGTCCTTTTTTTAATTCTGTCATATATTTCAGTCTGTTTTTATTTCAGCTCGCTAAACAAAAAGGTAATCTTTTAATTTTGTCTCTTATACCACCTTGATAGTGAGTAAAGTCCATTTTTTATTTTATGTTTTTTTCATATCAGTTTGCTAAATAGAAGTCATTTTAAAAATTTGTTTTGTATTTTAATTTGATTGTCAGTAGAGTCCTTTTTTATTTCATGTTTTTTTTTATTTCAATTTGCTAGTCAGTAGAGTTCTATTTCTATTTCATATCTATTATATATCTAATTAGAATACTAAAGTCTGCATTTCAACTACGTATTATTCAAAATTTTAATATCAAAGTGGATGTAACTGTTTTTACTAGATTTCAGCAAATTTTATCTAATTTTTACTAATGCAAGTAAATTATGATGTTTTAGAAGAAAATTAAAAGTTATTTGAAGAAATGTAAATAATATCCTTATTTCACATATGTAATGCAAATTCTGGAAAATACTAAGGATTGAATTTCGACTACAAATTATATAAAATTTTTATATCAAAGTGTATATAACAGTTTTTACTAGATTTTAGTAAATTTTATCTAGTTTTTACTAATGTAAATAAATCATTGTCCCTTAGAAGAAAATTAAAGGTTATTTGAAGAAAAGTAAAAAAATGTTCTAAAAAAGCTATTGCAAATTATAGAAATACTGAAGTTCCCGTTTCAACTACGAATTATGCAAAATTTTTATATCAAAGTATATATAACAGTTTTTACTAGAATTTAGTAAATTTTATCTAGTTTTTACTAATACAAAATAGTTATAATGTTCTAAAAGAAAATTAGAAGTTATCCGAAGAAAAAATGTAGTAAATTCATATATGAAATGCTAAAATTCATATAGAATAGTAAAGTCTGCATTTCAACTACGAATTATTCAAAAATTCTACACCAAAGTGTATGTAACAGTTTTTACTATATTTTAGTAAATCTTATCTAGTTTTTACTAATGTAGAAAAATTATAATGTCTTAGAAAAAAAACTCTACTGACGAGCAAATTCCAACATTTTTCCCGAAAAAAAGGATTTAATAAGCAATTTTAACATTTTAAGGAAAAAAAACTACTGACGAGCAAGTTCTTAATATTTTTCCCGAAAAAAAGGATTTGATAAGCAATTTTAATATTTTTAGGAAAATAAAAACTCTACTGACGAGCAAATTTTTAATATTTTTCCCAAAAAAAAGGATTTAATAAGCAATTTTAACATTTTTAGGGAAAAAAAACTCTACTGACGAGCAAATTCTTAATATTTTTCCCGAAAAAAAAGATTTAATAAGCAATTTTAACATTTTTAGGAAAAAAAACTCTACTCACGAGCAAATTCTTAATATTTTCCAAAAAAAAAACTGGCTGGCAAATTCTGACTATTGAGAAGTGTAAAAAAAATGTTCTAAATTCGTATATGAATTGCTAGTTATAAGAATACTAAAAGTCCGCATTTCAACTACAAATTATACAAAATAATAATATCCGAGTGTATATAATATTTTTTACTAGATTTTAGTAAATTTTATCTACTTTTTACTGATATATAATAATTAAAGTGGCCGGAGCAAAATTTCAAAGGCGTTTAAAAAATGTAAAACAATATTCAAAATTGATATCACAAATTGCTAAATATATATAGTACAAAAAATAAATGTCCCAACAAGTTGTACTTGAAATTTAATTATGTAAAAAGTTTATCTATAACAATTTTATTCGAATTTAGTATATTTTTAAGTTAATTTTGCCATAACAAAGCCCATAACACAGCGTTGTCATGGGAAACGGACGAAAATTGTGAAAAGTAGTACATATATTTGCCGTGCGATCAGGCGTATTTTACATAAAAACAAGTCCGGTGGCATGTTCGAAGATTCTGTTATCATAACATTCTTTCTTGCTTGTATATATGTAAAATACGCCTGATCGCACGGCAAAAAGACTTCTTAGATCTATTATTTATCTATTTCTACTTACATTTAGGTCCATCGTGAACAATGCTGAATACGTTAATAAATACTGTAACTCCATAAAATACTGCAATACTCCTAAAACCGTTCCTCAACGGATCCTTGGCCCTTAAAATAAACGTCCTTATCAAATAATAAATGCAAACTGAAATGGCACCGGACAAAGCTGGTGAAATGAACCAGGAGGCGACTATGGATGACAGGGTGCTCCAGTGTAGGCCCCTAGTGCCTCTTGCAACCAAACTAGAAAAAATAATAATAATATATAAGTATAAATATAAGTGGAAAAAGATATTTACTTAAAGCTATTGAGTTATTTTTGTCTTCCTTATGGTAAGGAACTCTATAGACGAGCAGCATTTTTAGGAAAAAGAAAAGGAATTTCTGATCAGTAAATTGTGGCTTTTTTAAAAAAAAGGAACTCTATAGACGAGCAACATTTTTAGGAAAAAAAAAGGAATTTTTGATCAGTAAATTGTGGCTTTTTTAAAAAAAATGAAACTCTACTGACGAGCAAATTCCGGCATTTTGGGAGAAAAGGAACTCTAATAAATAGGAAATTCTGGATTGTTTTTTAAAAAAATAAGAAACTCTATTGGACAAATTTTGACTTTTTTTTTAAAAAAAGAAATAACTTCTGAAATTCTTAAAATTAAAAAAAAAGACTTCAAAATTTTTAGAAAAAAAGGAACTCTACTGATGAGCAAATTCCGACATATTAAAAAAAAAAACGTCTTCTGACAAGCAAATTCTGACTTTTTTTTAAACAGAACTCTGACTAGCAAATTTTTGCTTTTTTAAGTAAAGGTCAACTCTTTTTTTTAAAAAAAGAAAGGAAACTACTAAAAATAAGAAAGGAGCAACTCTAGCAAATTTGAAATATTTTTCTAAAAAATAAAACTTTTTCTGACGAGCAAATTCTGACTTTTTTTAAGAAAATAACTGACGAGCAAATTGTGGCATTTTTTTAGAAATATGTAACTCTACTGACTAGCAAATATTGACTTTTTTTGTAAAAAAAAGTAAGAAACTTTGCTGACGAGCATATTATGAAATTTTTAGGGAAAAAGAACTCTACTGTCAAGCAAATTCTGACATATTTTCAAAAAAAACTAGCTGTAAGTGGAATTCTGTCTTGAGGCAATTATGGCATCGTGCCTTAAGGCAAATTGCTGGAACTTCCCGTACCGTAACGAAATGTTCGTGGAATACTGAATGTTTTCAAATAGATTATTCTAAATATTGTAACATTGTCTAATATTTATAAGAATTATATAAACTGTATTGCAGAGTTGAAATTATTTGTAAAGTATATTAGAACTATAGTCAGAATTAAAAATGAAATCTGAAATATTTTCGATATAAAAAACTAAAAAAAAAAAAAAAAAAAAAAAAAAAAAAAAAAAAAAAAAAAAAAATGGAACAAAATTTTTGTTTCCAAAATCAATTATTTTGTTAAGACAAGCAGAAACTTCTTTGAATCAATTGAATCGGACGCTTAGTTCTCTCAAAAACTGCCATTTTTTGTACATTTAGCTCTGTATCTCCGAAATGGCTGGGCCTGCCTTTGCGAAAAACTAAGAACCCCTTCTCCCAATCATTACTAATTGAATGTTTTTTAGATCATTCAAATCGGATGCTCCGTTCACTCAAAAACTCGATTTCTATTTTCTGCACTCTTTGCTCCGTATTTCCGAAACGGCTGGACCTGCCTTCCCCAAAAACTAATCAGCTCTTTTCCCTATCAATAGGAATCGAATGTTTTTTAAACCATTCAAATCGGTTGATCCGTACGCCCGAAAACGTTGTCGAAAATTTGTATCCATACATACATACACACACACACACACATACACACACACACACACACACATCCATTTTTTCTGAGGTATGCCAAAACGTTCAGAAACCTTCAAAACGTCGAGAAATGTAAAAATTTTCAATTCCGATTTTCGGCCCATTACAATAACTTACCCTACGGGAAGTTAAAAATATATGAATATCTACTGACAAGCAAATTCTGACCTTTTAAAAAAAAAGGTAACTACTGATGAGCAAATTCTGGCATTTTTAGAGAGAAAAGGAACTCCACTGACGAGCAAATTCCGAAATTTTTTTAAAAGAGGTGCAACTTTACAGACAAGCAAATTCTGACCTTTTTTTTAAAAAAAAAGGAACTACTGACAAGCAAATTCTGTGATTTTTTTTTAAATAAAAGGTACTACATTTTTTTAAAAGAAAAGTAACTTTACTGTCTAGCAAATTCAAACTTAATTTCCCAAAAACTTAAAATGTCTTGTGATTATCAAATCCTGTCATTTTTTTAAAGAAAAATGAAGTCTACTGACCACCAAATTCTGACATTTTTTGGTAAAAAGGTACTTTGCTGACAAGCAAATTATGTCATTTTTTAGGGTAAAAAGAAACTCTACTGACGAACAAATTCTGTAATTTTTTTTAAATGACGAGCAAATTCTGACTTTTTTAAATAAAAGGCACATTTTTTTAAAAAAAGCAAATTTTCTGTCTAGCAAATTCTGACATAATTTTCCAAAAAATAGACGAGTCCTTAAATTTTTTTCAAAAGGGAACTCTACTGGCGAGCAAATTCTGACTATTTTTCAAAAAATAAAAAGCACTTTTTTTTAAAAAAACGAAAAATAACTTCACTGTCTGGCAAATTCTGACACAATTTTTCAAAAAATAGAATGCTTTCGGACCAGCTAATTTTGTCATTTTTTTTAAAGGAACTTTACATTTTTAGAAAAAAAAAGAAACTATTGACAAACAATCTTTGACTTTTTTTTAAAAAAAGTAACCTCGCTGGCGAACAAACTCTAACATTTTTTTTTTTAAAAAGGAACTCTACTGACGAGCAAATTCTGTTATTTTTCTTTAAAAAAAATAAAGTCTACTGACCACCAAATAATGACATTTTATTTTAAAAAAAAGGGAACTCTACTGACGATCAAATTCCGATATATTTAAAAAAATAGAATGTTTTGTGACGAATAAATTTTGACTTTTTTTTAAAAAAGTAACCTTACTGACATACAAACTCTAACATTTTTTTGAAAAAAAAAGGAGTCTATTGATTAGCAAATTCCGACATATTTTTAAAAAAATAGAATGTCTTGTGACAAGCAAATTTTGTCATTTTTCTTTAAAAAAATTGAGTCTACTGACCACCAAATCCTGACATTTTATTTTTTAAAATAAGGGAACTCTACTGACGAGTAGAATCTATTTAGGGAAAAGAGAAACTTTACTGATGAGCAAAAATTCCGATATTTTTTTAAAACAAAGTACTCTACTGACAAATTGTGACTTTTAAAAAAAAGGAACTCTACTGAGGGAAAAGGAAACTTGACGAGTTTTTAAGAGAACTAACAATATTTTTCGAAAAAAATATTAAATGTCTTCTCTGACATTTTTAGAAAAAATTCTGTGTTATTTTATGTGTGGTTAACTGTTTTAAGTCGTTCTGGATCGGTTGGCATCGGAATTGGAAAAAAAGTATATAGGAACAACATATGGAGCAAAAACTCTGTGCGGATCAGAGACATGGACTCTGATAAAAGCCGAGAAAAACTATCAGTAAAAATTCGAAAAATGAAACATAAAGTGGACAGATAAGATAAATGAAGTGATAAGAAGCTTGGATAAAAAAAAGTCTGAGCATGATTCTGAAAGGAAAAGGAAACTAGATCGAACTCATTATGCAAAAACAGTGCCTTATATTTATGGTGTTGATAGGAAAATCAACACTATAAGTATAAGGCATCAATAAAAGTGTATAAAGGAATCATTGATTTGTGGCCTCAGGACAGACTTATTTATTATTACAATAACTTTTAGATCAATTCCAAAGTTCTTTAATATTTTTTAAAAATAGTCACGTACATAATTACTACAATATAGAGACCTATATCTTCTATAAGTGTTCTTTCAACAACCTAATTGAACTTAAGAGCTCATACAAAAACGTCCTAATGAACACTAATGAAAAAATCACACATCGTGAGTAATGACTTACGCGTTTTTCCATTAAACAAATGTACAAATAGAAAAATGAATGAACGACGAACCACTGGCGCCTAAATAAATATTGTAAATTTAAAGATAAGTGATGTAGTAAAATTTAAAAATAGAATTATATGGAATGACCTAGAGAAAAATCAATTTGTAGATTGATTAGAAGTAGGAGTGGCACGAGGGATTTATTAACCAGACATAAAATGAATTTTTTATCAAAGATTCATTTTCATAGATTGACTTGACTTCTTAATAGAGCAACTACATAGTGACGTATTTTTTAATGTTTTAGCGAAACGTGTCACAAATAGTTAATTAACAAATCTGTATACTAATATTAGTAAAAAAAATTGATATTTCTATTTTAAATAGATTATTTATCGACGATACACGATTTGAAATTCATTTGTTAATATGTTTTCTCAAAATGCAACGCAATAATAAAATATTTTTTAAAATATCAACAAAACTTGAAATGTACTAAAAATAGCAACTAATGTTTCCCAAATAGTTAATTGACAAATCTGTATACTAATTTTAGAAAATTAGCCAATATTTATATTTTAAAGAAATTATTTACATCGAAGGATCTTCGGTTCGAAATTCACTCAACTTTTTTACACGTTTTTCTCAAACTGCAACACTTTAGTAAAATATTTTTCAAAAATACTAGAAAGCTTGAAATTCACTAAAAATGACAACTACTGTTTCTCAAATAGTTTATTAACACATCTGAATACTAATTTTAGTAAATAAATCGATATTTCCATTTTAATTAATTTTTTTGAATTTACAAAATCCGTTCAGGATTTTTCTCAAATTGCAAAGAGTTTAATGAAAAATGTTGCACTACATTGCTAATTACAAAGAAACGGCTCGACTGATCGTCGTACAAATTTCATAAACACGAGTCCTTATCGAGATACATTGATTGGCTTTTAAATTTTTGAAATCGGTCCAGCCGTTTTTGAGAAACTGCGAAAAAGTACACAAAAATCGGCTCACATACACAAACTTTCAATTTTGGTGCCAAGCGATTCAGAATGACTTAAAACGTCAAGAAAACATACGATTAGCAAATCAAATTTTCAGTCAAAAGTTTGCACGGTTGAGAAAATAAAGATACATATTCGATTTTAAGATGAGATAAAGAAAAAAACATTTCTTACAATAAGTTACAGTCGTAAAGATTCTGTAGAATTACCCTTTGCACTCCATTTTCACATTTTTATAATTTTTTATAATCACGCTTTGAAATTCTCTTGGTCATGTTTTATCAAAATGCAACGCAATAGTAAAAGATTTTTGAAAAATGCAATAAAACTTGAAACTTACTAAAAAGGTTAGATAACTTTTCTATAATAGATGTTTAACAAATCTGTATACCAACTTTAGTAAAAATGGGATATTTCTATTTTAATAAATAAAAATTATCAAGGGTTATATTATAGGGGTATATATTCTCTTGGTTTTTTCATGTGTTCTCTCAAAGTGCAAAGATCTAGTAAAGTATTTTTTAAAAATACAACAAAATTTGATATTCACTAAAAATACGAACTAGTGTTTCTACAATAGTTAACTAACTAACCAACCTGTATACTAATATTAGCAAATAAATCAATGTTTTTATTTTAAATCATTTTTTCATAATCAAAAATTTTCACTCTTCGGAGTTTATTTGCTTTTTCATAGTGCATCCCCCGCTTAAAAAATATTTTTTAAAAATACAACAAATCTTGAAATTTACTAAGAAGTGGAACAACATTTTCTGAAATAGTTGGTTAACATATCTGTATACTAATTTGATTAAATATATAGATACTATCTATTTTAAATAATCAAAGATCCACGATTCGAAATTCTCTCGACTTTTTCATACGTTTTTCTCAAAGTGCAACAACGCTGATAAAATATTTTTTTAAAATACTACAAAGCTTGAAATTCACTAAAAATATGAACAAATGTTTCTAAACTAGTATATTAACAAATCTGTATACTAATTTTGGAAAATTATTTTTTATTTCTTTTTTTAAAAAATAATTTCTAGAAGATGCACGGTTCGAAATTCTCTCGACTTTTTCACACCTTTTTCTCAAAATGTAACAACACTCTAGTAAAATATTTTTTTAACAATACTACAAAACTTAAAATTGACTAAAAATGCCAACTAATGATTCTGATATAGTTAATTAACAAATCTGTATACTAATTTTAGTAAATAAATCGATATTTCTATTTTAAATAAATTATTTATCAAAGATCCACGAATCGAAATTTACTTGACTTTTCTATGTTCTCTCTAAGTGCAATTTTTTAAAGTTGCATTTAGTAAAAATATAACGAAACTTGAAATTTACTAAAAATAACAACTACTGTTTCTGTAATAGTTAATAACAAATCAGTATACTAATTTTAGAAAATAAATTGATATTTCTATTTTAAATAATTTACCCACGGTTTGAAATTCCTTCAACATTTTTCATACGTTTTTCCCAAAGTGCAATTTGCTGGTAAAATATTTTTTAAAAATACTACAAAGCTTGAAATTTACCAAAAATGCCAACTATTGCTTTTAAAATAGTTAACTAACAAATCTGTATACTAATTTATGTAAGTAAATCAATATTTCAGTAAATTGCAAAAAGTTTATAAAACAATTTTGCACATTGATTGCTAATTACAAAGAAACGGCTTAACTGATTTTCATGAAAATTTAATTTTTGAAATCGGTCCAGCAGTTTTTGAGAAAACAGTCAAGGAAAGCATGAAAAAAAAATCGGCTCACATACACAAACTTCCAATCTTGGCACCAAAATCTTCAAATTTTGGTGCCAAGGGATTCAGAATGTCTTAAAACGTCGAGAGAAAACACACAATTAACATATGGAATTTTCAGTCAAATATTTATGGACGTGTAAAAAAATATATTACTATAACTAAGTATAGAAATATGTAAATTTAAAAAGATATTTCTATGTTTTATAAAAAATGTATTAAAAATTATGATTTTAAAACTATATAAATGTCATGACATAATTGTTTCTTTCAAAAACTCATGGCCTCTTTTGATTCCCACATATATTTGAAGTAAAGCTTCTTTAAGCATACTCGATATAAAGTGAGCGTTACGAAAAGCGTGATCGGTGAAAGAAAACGGTAATTCAATAAAGATAAAAATTCGATTTTAAGATGAAATAAAGAAAAAACACTTCTTACAATAAGTTACAGTCGTAAAAATTCTGTAAAATTACCCTTTGCACTCAATTTGCACATTTATAGGGCAATTCTGCAGTAACAGGGCCCTTAACAACGTTGTCACGCCAATTTGCCGTGCAATCAGGCGTATTTTGCAAAAAAACAAGTCCGGGGGAATGTTCGATAACAGAATCTTCGATGATGCATCTTCCTTGTTTGTTTATATGTAAAATACGCCTGATCGCATGGCAAATAGATAGACATTTTCATAATTTCCAATACAAAGAATTAAAATAAACTCTGTTACGCCAGAATTACCCTATTAATATGCATTTTTGGAGTACCATTTTGCATAATTTTTAATTCTTACTAATAATTTTTTTTATTTACCTGAAACCAGCAGTGGATCCAACAATACTGTGCGTAGCAGAAATGGGTAACCTCAAAAAAGTTGCTAATAACATACAAATGGCACTGCCACCCAAACTTGCAATACAACCCAACATCAGCTCTCGTTCAGCATCCTCGTACATCGATAAATCCAAAATACCCTTCCTCATTGTATCCGACACTTTGTAACCTGGAAAAAAAAATCAACCGATTACTTATAATGAACTATAATGAATATATTAATTACTATCGATAGATTAGATAGATCTATTAATTACATCTATCCTTTCCACTTACCGATTAGAACAGATCCACTGATCTCGAAGAAAGAAGCCAAATAACAAGCCTGTCTTATCGTGAGCACCTTAGACCCAACGCTGGTTCCAAATGAATTTGCCACATCATTTGCTCCGATGCCAAAGGCCATTCCAAATGCAACCAAAAATCCAACGATGATCAGCCATAACAAACTTGGCTCGTACGGTTCAATCATTGTTCCAAATTTTTTTTTGTTTTAAGATTTTTTATGATTTATGATAAAAAAAATTTATAAAAATATAAATAAATATTTTTTGTTCTTAATATTAATATATATATGTATAGGAAAATAAATTTTGTTTTTTTTTTATTAATATTTTTTTTTTGGGTTTTGTTGAATATTAAATAATGTGGATTATTATGTTATAAATGAAGTTCAGAGTACGATTGGCTTTTGAAAAATACATAATGAAGTCTAGACATTTAAATCACGAACTACCTGGAAGAAAATTAAATGTAGTTATTTTTTTGGAATTGAATAAAATTTATAAAAAGTAATATAATTATATTTATTAATAAACTAATTTCAAATGATTTATATTTTATTTTCTTATAAATCCAGAAGATGGATAATCAAAATCCATATTTTATATATATTTTTTAACATGTTTATCAAATTTTACCAAACATTTTCATTTCAAATAAATTTGAATTTTTTAAATCAGTTTAATGAATTTTTAAACAATACTTTTATTTTTACATGAAAAAAAAAACGGCTCAGCTGATAGGCCTATTGATAATAATAATAATAAAAGTCCATTGAATGTTAATTCAAAAATAAAAAAAGGCAGTTCAAAATAAAAAAAAAATGAACAAGAGAAGTCACTTCAAAATGAAGAAAGAAATAAAAAAGGAAAGTCACTTCAAAATAAAAAAAAGAAATAGACAAAAGAAGTCATTTCAAAATGAAGTGAAGAGAAGAAAGTCACTTCAAAATGAAGAAAGAAATAAAGAGAAGTAATTTTAAAATAAAAGAAATAAAGAATAGAAGTCACTTCAAAAAAAAAAAAATTAAGAATTGAGTCACTTCAAAAACAAAAAATGAAATGAAGAAGAAAAGTTACTTCAAAAATAAAAAAATGAAATGAAGGTCACTTCAAAATAAAAAACAAGAAATGAAGAAAAGTCGCTTCAAAATAAAAAAATAAATGAAGAGAAGTCACTTAAAAATGAATGAATAGAAGAAAAAAGTCACTTCAAAAGGAATGAAGAGAAGGAAGTCACTTTAAAATTAATAAAGAAAGCAAAAAGTCACTTCAAAATGAATGAGGAGAAGAAAGTCACTTTAAAATAAAAGAAATGAAGAAGAGAAGTCACTTTAAAATAAAAAAGAGAAGAAGGTCACTTCAAAATGAAGAAAGAGAAGAAAGTCACTTAACATAAAGTGAAGAGAAGAAAGTCACTTCAAAATGAAGTGAAGAGAAGAAAGCCACTTCAAAATAATGAACGCAAAGAGCCACTTCAAAATAATAGAAAAGAAGAAAGTCACTTTAAAATGAAAAAAAAAGAAGAAAGACACTTGAAAATGAGAAGAGAAGAAAATTACTTCAAAATAATAAAACAAGAAGAAAATCACTTCAAAATGAATGAAGAGAAGAAAGACACTTCATTATTAAGTAAAGACACTTGAAAATAAAAAAAGAGAAGAAAGACACTTGAAAATAAAGGAGGAAGTTACGTTAAAATGAACGAAGTGAAAAAGACACTTGAAAAAAAAAGAAGAAAGACACTTGAAAATGAAAAAATAGAAGAAAGGCACTTGAAACTGAAAAAAGAGAAGAAAGACACTTAAAAATAAAGAAGGAAGTTACTTTGAAATGAAGAAAGACGCTTCAAAATAAATGAAAAGAAGAAAACCACTCCAAAATAAAGAAAGAGAAGAAAATCACTTTAAAATTAAAAAAATGAAGAAAGTCACTTTAAAATAAAAAAAAACCAAAAAAGTCACTTTAAAATAAAACAGTAAAAAGACACTTTAAAATAAAAAAATAAAGCAGAAAGACACTAAAATAAAAAAATAAAGCAGAAAGACACTAAAATAAAAAAAAATAAAGCAGAAAGACACTAAAATAAAGTAAGAAAAAAAAAGTAACTTCAAAATGAAAAAAAAAACAATGTTTTTTATCTAAATTTAATAAAAAAAATGAAAAAGAAACATTTTCAAAATTGCGTAAAAAAGAAAATGTAAAGAACGAAGTTGTTACTTCAGAATTGTTTTAAAAAAAGAACAAAATGATCTTACTTCAAAATTGAATAAAGAAACCGAAAAAAAGAATGTTACAATGTTACATTTTATGAAATAAAATTATTTATTACATTCATTACATCATTTCGTGAAACAAATCAAGAAATCATAATTATTAGAATATAAGAGTTTGTGGTGTAAAAAATTTTCTATGAAGTTTGTAAAAAAATATCAGCCCTAATTAAGCAATCAGTATTTGTATCAGAAGAATTTTAACTGAAATAATTTAAAAACGATTTCTTTAATGGCAAACCAAACAAACTTGTCCTAAAACTATTAAAATAAAATGGAATTTACACCGGCAGTAATTAACGTACATGATGATGTGCAAACATCAATGTTTTAATTAAAGAATTCTAGTAAACAGAATTCAAATATCTTTTTTAATGACATCGCATTTGACCTTTGAAGGAAAACCCTCAAAAGTACTTCATTACCTATTTATGTTACATTAAATTGTAACTTTTAATCACCTTAATTAACAACTTATGTATCCAATTATTTAATTAGCACAATTTTTATTATCACAATGTTTCGAACAAAATAATGATGTAAAACTAGGAATGTTTCTACAATTTCATGGTACACGTGTAGAACAAATTTATTTAAATTTTAATTAGTACATGAAAAATTATAAATAATTTTATATCGGATATTTAACTTCCCGTAGGGTAAGTTATAGTAATCGTCCAAAAATCGAAATCAAAAATTTTTACATTTCTCGACGTTTTGAAGGTTTCTGAACATTTTGGCATACTTCAGAAAAAATGGATGTGTGTGTGTGTGTGTGTGTGTGTGTGTGTGTGTGTGTGTGTTTTGTATGTCCGCTTTTTTTCGTCCACGTTTTCGGGCGCACGGATCAACCGATTTGAATGGTTTAAAAAACATTCGATTCCTATCGATAGGAGATGTGCTGATTAGTTTTTGGCAAAGGCAGGTCCAGCCGTTACGGAGATATGGAGCAAAGAGTGCAAATAATAGAAAGCGAGTTTTTGAGAGAACGGATCAACCGATTTGAATGGTTTTAAAAAACATTCGATTCCTATTGATAGGGAGATGTGCTGATTAGTTTTTGGCAAAGGTAGGCCCAGAGGTTTCGGAGATACCGAGCTAAATTTAAAAAAAATGGCTGTTTTTGAGAGAACTAAGCGTCCGATTTAAATGATTCAAAGAACTTTCTGCTTTTTTCAACAAAACAATTGATTTTGGAAAAAAAAATTTTTTGTTTCTAATTTTTTTTCAAAAATTTTTTTTTGTAATTTTGGACTAAAAATTCAAAAAATCACCCAAGCTAAGCACAGTCTAAGCGCCACTCTGGTAGAAATGTTTACGCAAGTGCGTTTAGACTGTTTGTGTACTGGAGCACTTTTCAATTTTGTGAAAATTATTGAAAAATGTGAAAATGCCGCCAAGCTGAGCACAGTAAAGTGAAAATGTCGCAAAGAATTATTTGCAAATGCGTTTAGACTGTGACTATGCGGGAGCACTTTTTCAATTTTGTGTAAATTTGGCAACTATTTTTTTTTGGAATTTGATTCGAAATGAAATGACGATTGTTAATGTTCTGGAGATGATAAATTGATTTATTTATAATTAACTTTCCATAGGGTAAGTAATCGCAAAAAAATCGAAAATGAAAATTTTTATATATCTTCACGTTTCAGAGGTTTCTGAATATGTTGGCATACCTTGGAGAAAATTGATGTATGTGTGTGTGTGGGTGTGCGTGCATGTGTGTGTGTTCGGATACAAATTATGGTCGACGATTTCGGGAACACGGATGAAGCAATTTGAATAATTCAAAAAAACATTCGATTCGTATTGATAAGGAGACGTGCTGATTAGTTTTTGTCAAAGGCAGGTCTAGCCATTCCGAAGATATGGGGCAAAAAGGGCCAAAAACGGTAACTCAGTTTTTAAGAGAACGGAGCGTCCGATTGGAATAATTCAAAAAACATTTTACTTGTATTAACAGGATGAAGATTTGATCAAATTTTCATGAAGATAGGTCTAGCGGTTTCGGAGATCTAGTAAAAAAAACTAAAAAAAATAACATTTGGCGGTCAACAATAATCATTAGACATTAGACATATGCATATCAAATTATCAGATATTTTATTGAGATTTTAACAATAAGTATAAGTTTTGTTTACATTCCTATGGGTTCCGTACCAATGTTTTTCCGTTAGACAGCGACGCGGCGCTTACGCGCTTTATATTTGTCTCTATGCAGTTAAGGCAGTACGATTGCTTTGAAAAAAAGTTCAGATCTTCCAAAATATGTCAAAATGAAGATAACATTTTTTCCAAAAAAAATTTTTACAAAAAAAATTGTTTAAAAATTTTTTAAAAAAAAATTTTTTTTTTCAAAAAAAGTAATTTTTTGTCCAATTTAAAATTTCTAAAAAATCTTATTTTTTCGAAGTAAATTTTTTCAAAAATTAATCGTTTTTAAAAAATAATAATTTTTGGCACGGGAAGTTCCAGCAATTGCCTTAAGGCACGATGCCTTAATTGCCTTAAGACAGAATTCCACTTACAGCTAGTTCAATTTTAATTAATAAAAATTAAACAGAAACAAATATATCAAAAAACAACAGTCTTCTATTTTCCAAATTAAGAAAAAAGGTATTAATAAAAAATGTATATATGTATAAGGAATTTGTGTTTTAAAAGATAATTATAAGAACACGTGTTCCTACACTTCTAAATAAATATTTATTTAATTAAGGTTTAATTAGTATTCATATAAAATGTTGTACCAGAAGCAAAATGTATATTAAATTAATTTAATACACAATTTTAATTAAGTAAAATTGAAAAAATATACCAATACGAAATTCGTCATTTTCAAGAAAATGATTCGTAAAAAACTTTTAATAAATATATAATACAATAAAACTAAAATTAAAATTATATTATTATATCAAAAATTGTTTGCATATTTATTGAAACTTTAAATTCTG